TCACCCGAAATCACCCCGAGGCCCCCGGGGCCATAACCAAAAACACCAACCTACCCCCAAAACATCATACGAACTTGTTCTAATCATCAAAACACGTCGAACAACACAAAAATCATCAATTCACCACGGATTCAAGCCTAAGTTTATCAAATTCTTCCGAAACTCACATTCGATCAAAAACCCAACCAAACGACGTCCAAATGACCTGAAACTTTACCCGCACATCCAAAATCACCTAACGAAGCTACTGCAACTCTTGGAATTCCATTCCGACCCCCGGATCAAAATCTCACCTACCAACCGGAATTCGCCAAAATTCAACCTTCACCAATTCAAGCTTAATTCTACACCGGACCTCCAAATTCAATTCCGATCGCACTCCTAAGTCACAAATCATCCCCCGAAGCAAACCGAATCACCGGAATTCACATCCGAGCCATCTAACTATATAGTCAACTTCCGGTTGACTTTTTCCAAAACAAGCTTCCTTCTAAGAGGCTAAGTGCCTCATTTCCAACTAAACCAATCCAATTCCACTCGATCACCTCAAATACCGGTACTGAAATGTAGAGAAACATAATATGGGGGAAACGGGGCGGTAACTCACGTGACGACGGGCCGGGTCATCACAGAAATGATCAAGCTAAGCTCACTCGTAGAGAGAAGAGAGATTGAGAGAAGAAGAAAAAACTGTTATATTGAATTAAAGAAGAAAGTTACTATACACAATAATAATACACTGTACTAACCGACCTAACTAACTAATCCACAATTTACACAATTACCCTCTACAATATAACTACTTAAATACTTTAAGTGTGTCTATATCCTTAATAATTCTAAAAATAGATTTTCACTTTTACTTGTCACCTTTAGCATATCAAGATAAGATCTAATTTTTCCTGTTATACCCATAGTATTAATATTTATTTCAAACAATTAATATGAGTATCATGATAAATTATGCACTTTATTTATTATTTCTTAAAGAGTATGCAGAGGCTATAAGGACAAATAAAAGTGAACATAGAAAGTATTTATTAAGGGACGTGTAAAAGAAAAACACGACACAGAAAAAGCATATTAGATTACTTGCATTTACATATTTTCAAATCCGAGAAAAATGGATCTGTATTTTATCTTTTCTATTCTATGTCTAGTCTATACAAAAGGAGAATCTCCAATCATAACGCACTCCATTGTGCGCAGCAGCACGAAGCAAAAAAAGCAGAAAGATGAGAAACTAGACAAACAACTTGTGACCTTGAAAATAATAAAAAAAGTTGCACTGCTATAAGCAACATTGAATAAATTTTTAAAAAAATGAGAAGAGGTACAAGAGAAAAGTTACAATCCCAATAAACATTAAAGAGGCAGTTATGAATTGCATATCCAAATACTTCACAAAGTAACAAAAACAAGGCTACTCATTTTTGCGTTAGCTGTATTTTTCTCTCTCTACTTCACTAATTTTAACGCCCCTCACTTTAATTTAAATACAACATTCAACCTCTTTTGGCCTCTTCTCTCTCTCCCTTTATATGCCTGCACGGCACAAATTACATTATTATTTATCTACATTTCCTGCGCAATTATTATTATATAACATATTTTGCTGTTAAATGCCATAAAAGCTACACTAACTAATTTTAAAATGCTGAACTCACTCTCGACTTCAATTTTTTTTTTCAATAAAAGCTTTTTTACTCTATTAATTGGTTTATTGGTACGAATATAAGTTATAGCCTGTTTGGCCAAACTGCAAAAATCATCTTATTTTGACAAGTGTTTTTTTTCCAAAAGTAACTTTGGTGAGAAACAATTTGTATTTGGTTAATTAATTTGAAAAGCACTACTGATCAGTAATTAGTATTTGCCAAGCTTTTAAAAACTACTTCTAATTGTATTTTTCTCGAAAGTGATTTAGAGAGAAACTATTTTTTTCTGCTTCTTCAAAACTACTTCTGTTTCTCTTCAAAAGCACTTTTTTCCTTCCAAACACCTCAATTTTTGGAATAAAGCACTTTTGGTCCAAAAAACTTGGCCAAACATGCTATTAGTCCACCAATATATTTTGAATTTTCTATATGATTAAAACAGAAAAATTCTGAATTTAAATATCAACAATATTATGGTCATCACTAAAGATATTTGTATGGTTTCATTTTTAATCAAAGGTCAAGTTGAAGTTCTGAGTATAAAATTACATTTAGTATGAAAATTGTATCCCAAAGTTAGAATTTTTCAGCATAAATCTAAATTAATAAGCTGTAAAGAAAAAACACTAGACAATTATCTTCTCTCTTCAAAACGACAGGCAAAACAATGTGAGCTAAAGGGCAAACCCCAAAGCCTCCTCTTCTTTGTAATTTCCATACATAAATCACCTCTCAACATCCACTGATCAGAATTTTGTTACAAAAACCCTTAACACAGCTTTTCTCTCTCTCTTTCATCACCTTCTTTTCTGACCTTAACTTTGAGTCGGTTTCACTCTTCACATACATCTAAATCTGATCTTTATCTATATCCATTTTTTCACATACAAATATTGGATTTTTGCACATACTCTTTTAATTTATTGTAATTATAGAATTCTGGGTTTATATTTTCTTCAGTAAAGTTTTGAGGTGCATTTTCAATGGCTGCTGATGCACAAGCAGTGATTGAGGCTCCTGCGCTTCATCAATCAAAATATTCTGATGCTGGTTCTGAAGAATCTGACTTTAATTCCAACCAAAATGTGAATAATTCTGAATCTGTTGTTACGCCTAATGGTGTGAAGGACTCATTAAATGCTAAATCCGATTCTTATCAAATGCAACATATTGTTGACATGTTGAAGAAACTCAAGTTGAATCCACTCGCAAAAGAGTTTGTTCCTTCTTATTGTTATAATAATCGTGATCAGATGCTTTTTGTGCCTGCTAATAAGACTCTGGCTGCTGATGATGCTTTCCCAATTAACCCAAGGGTATTGTTTCCACTCTGAGTCACATTGATTAAGCTATTGAATTTTTATTTTGTTATTTTTGTTGATCGTTTCATGACTTAGATAATTATTTACTTCCCTGATTTCACTTGAAAGAATCGCAATTCTCATATATTTGAAGTATTGATGACTGACTCCATAATGAATTTGTTATTAGTCTCTGCTGAAGTGTGTTTCAGTTTACAAGTTTTTTTCTAGTCTATTTATTTCCTTATTTGTAAAATAATAATAAAAAAAGGATCTTTTCTGTTTTCCATTAGAGTAATATTTTGTGTTGGATTTTTGTGAGGGTGTTTCTCCATGCATTAATTAGTGGTAAACTTGTTGAATTATGGAAAATACAGTTCGTTTGACAATTTCCTAATTTTCCTGGTAAGAAATGATTTTTTTCAGATATGGGAATGTATTTGGAAGCATCATTTAATCGTACGAGATATATTCGATAATCAGTCTCTCGTATAAGTTGTTGTCAAAGGTGTCATGCTTTGGGCCATTCATCATTTATCAGGGGTAGTTGGTATGAATGTAGAAGCTGGATTTCAAAGTTTGATGGACTTGTGGATTCTGAAGCTCTTTTTGTCAAAATGGATTCTTGACTCTTCCTCTAGTAATTAATTGCTGACTTTCCCTTTTTAAAAAAGGGAAATTTGAGATTGAGTTAGTTATTAGTATCATTGACTTTAGTTGTTAGAATAGTTGTGGATGCTTAGCTGGTAAAATATCAATGAATGCTATTTTTCCATTGTCGTGAATGAGGTGTAATTTGAGGTCTTGATCTAAGCGTCCACTTGTGAGTTGTACCTTTTCGTTACTCTGGTTGTTTCAGTGGTACTTGCATACAACATTTTGCTATATGTGGACTGGATATTAGGGAATAAGTTTGTCATTTTCGTATGAATTGGATCAAAAGTTTTGGTCTAAAAAGGCTTACCAAATGTCCACAGCCTTCCCTTGCATCAAAGAGGTTGTTTCCACGACTCGAACCCATGACCCCGGCACAAGTCACCTAAGGAACAACTCTACCATTACTCCAAAGCTCGTTCTCGTTAAAAACTTTCATCTATTCACATAAATTTATTTACTTTCATAAAGAGAGTGCATTTTAAGAAAGTTCAACCTTCCATGCTTTTCAACACAAGGATTGCGTTTCAGACCATAATTACCATGATTTAATAAATACCCTAGTGTATTGCGAATTGCATTTTGCCGTTCTTGAAGTGATTTTGATTGCTCAATTAAGCAATCCGACCCCTCACTAATTTTCATTACTATGTTTCAGCAGAGAGGTAACAACTATAACCAGGGCAGAAGGAGAATGAACAATAGAGCTTTTAGGGCTCAAAGAGAAGATAGCATTAGGAGAACAGTCTATGTTTCTGACATCGATCACAATGTAAGTAAAGATGGATGCTCATTAATCTTCTTATTATGTTCTGTTTAGTACTTATATAGTTCCTCTTTCTGACTCTGCTCCACAGGTAACAGAAGAGCGGCTTGCTGCATTATTTAGCGCTTATGGACAAGTAAGTGACTATGCTCTTCTAGACATTGATGTGGTTCTTTATGTTAGATATTTGCTGCTTTAAGTGCAAGGTGGATGCTTCTATTTTGTACTTTGATAAACCTAAAAGCTATTAATGCATTTAGTTTCATACTTTAGCAGATGAAAAGCCTTAGCTTGGATCGCCTATAGAGTATGTTTGTCTCTCTATCTACAGGATGATGAAATTCCATGACTCGACAATAATCAATACCGTGTAGACTAGTACTAAAATTACAAGTTATCTATTAGTATTTAATCTAGTTTAGGTTTGTTTTAACACTATTAATATCGTCGTAGTTTATCTTGATCTATTCGACCTATA